ACCAGTGAAGCAAACAAAGAATTATTTTAACAGGGACTAGAGAAAAAACATTATTTTACTCCTCAATCCATCCATCCCACTCCTACCAGTAATAATAAAAAAAACATTATTTTACTCCTCAATCCATCCCACTCCTACCAGTCTGATGCCATTAATAGATGCCCAGAGCCTGGTGATTCTTACCCCTCTACTCCACTCTGGTGAGACCCCACCTTGACCACTGCTTCCAGCTCTGGGACCCCCAACATCATGGACCTATTGGAGCAGGGCCAGAGGAGGCCATGGAGATGCTGCGAAGGCTGGAGCTCCTCTGCTGTGAGGACAGGCTGAGAGAATTGGGGGTGTTCAGCCTGGAGAAGAGAAGGCTCCGGGGAGACCTTAGAGCCCCTTCTAGTCCCTAAAGGGGCTCTGGGAAAGCAGGGGAGGGACTCTTGACCAGGGAGAGCAGCCACAGAATGAGGGGTAATGGTTTTAAACTGAAAGAGCGGAGATTTAGCTGAGATCTCAGGAAGAAATTCTTTCCTGTGAGGGTGGTGAGACACTGAAACAGGTTGCCCAGAGAAGCTGTGGCTGCCCCATCCCTGGAGATGTTCAAGGCCAAGTTGGACAGGGCTTTGAGCAACGTGGTCTGGTGGGAGGTGTCCCTGCCCATGGCAGGGGGTTGGAACTGGATGGTCTTTAAGGTCCCTTCCAACCCGAACCATTCCATGATTCTATGAAATGCTATTCATCTTGCTCTGTAACTGTCTAAATTCTGCATTTTCTTGACAGTTTCATGGTAGTTGAGAAAAAACATGTCAAAAATTTGGTTTTACGTGGGCCCATGTGGTTTCTGGCTGGCTAAACCGAATAAACAAAATTCTCCAGTCTCTGGGTTGTTAGTTGACAGTGCAAATCAGTGCTGCTCTGTTGCGAGTGCTAACCATTTTTCCTTTTTAAAAAGAAAAAAAAAGGTCAGGCTGATTGCAGTGGTTTAGACCATGAGGAATTTTTTACAAGAATAGTATCCCCCCCCAAAATCTGTTTTCTTTCTCAACTAGTGAACCCCAAATTTCAGAAATACAGTCCCTGAGAGCAGATGTTTCATTCATCTACATGCAAATCGCCGCTACAAACCCTGCGTGAGTCTCACCGGGGAGACTGGAAGAGACACAACCTCCAAGCAAAACCGGGAGCTCAGCCCGTTTCTGCATCACAAGTGCTGCAAGTGGCTGAAAGCCCTGAATTTGCCATGGCTTTCTCACAGGCTGTCAAGTGTCTCATTTCCTTGGCATCTCCGTTTCTTCCTAATTTCAGAATTGGAGAGTTGGATTCTTCACCTTTCAACTCCTGCTGAATAAACCCGTGCTCAGCATCGATAAATGTACCAGCTAAGGCGGCTCACTCCTCAGGCCTGTCTGCACTGCTGGATCAAATATTGAAACTCACATTATTGCCATTACACAGGATTGTTGTTTTATGATAATTCTGCTGCATATTAAGTCCCAGGATTTGATAACATAATGCTGTGGTCAAAGCAGTTGGAATTTAGTCCCGTTAGTCATTCTCTCATCTCTTTTCTTCATTTGTTTTCGGGTTTTTTTTATTCTGAATTGTTTTCAGAATCACATGCCTGCTGGAGAGATCATTTATAGCTATGCTGTTCCTTGTTCATATTCTGAATTAGGTCATTAAGTGAGGGCTCTGATTTTTTCTTTCAGCTAGTGCCATTGCCAATAGTGCTGTTGTGTGCGTAGCACGATAAACTTTTGGGAAGAAACAAACATTTCCATCATTTTTGATGTTTCACTGCAAGGCAGAAGATGCCCACGCTGTCCTTCTGCTGGCGGAGCTGCTCTTCCTGGTTTTCTCCTGATTTCCTAAGTAAGCAAAGCCCACCAGAGGAGGCTTGTGACCGGCCGTTTCTGTCCAGTGATGCACACCAGTGGCTCCATTCCCACCCTGCCCAGGTGCCAGCAGGTTGCCCCTCTTGGGGGGCTTGTTCCTACCTGACAGTAGCCCTGTTGGCAAGTTGAGTGTAAAGGTGAGGTATGGAGGGAATCCTTGGGTGTACGGCACTGGCTGTGAACCTGCTCAGTTAGATTGCACTTGTTGGAAAGTCAAATAGAGTTGTTTGCTTTGCCTCTTTGTGGAAAGCCACCAAAAGGAGATTTTTCTGCGGCATCATTTTCTCATATTTTGTCACCCAAGAGCAATTAGGACTACACACTAACTGCTGCTGATAATTAAAGAAGCCCATGGGGCCACAGCCCAGAGGCTTCTATCACCCCAGGGCTTGAGGGTGCAGTGTAGTGTTGTTTCCAGCACTTTTCCCCTCTGCTGAAAGACAGGTATTTTCTAGTTGTTGACCAGAAAACAGAAAGAAAAAGAGATTCTGGATTCTAGTCTGTGTCCTTGCCAAGTACTTAAAACATCTCTTCTGTAGAAGAGCTAACTGCTCTTTCATCAGACCTGCAAAGAGTGGTTCTATCGTGATCTTGTAAGTCTGCACTAAACGCTTTGACAAAAACCATGCGTGCTCCGAAATGAAATCTTATTTACTGTGGTGTTATTAAAGCACTAAATAAACAGACAAACTTGGGAGGGCTGGCAGGATGTGGGCGGGTGAATCAATGAGCTTTGATGCTCATGTCAGTCAATGCTAATTCCTGTCCTTTGAAGGAAGCGTGATAAACACAGCTGCCAGAAGTGGGATCTGAAATTGCTCTAATTAAATTAAATTTTCACTGGAATGAAAGCAGCTGAGCACCTTGCTTTGTCTCCTTTTTAAATGGACTAATTCAGAAAATAATGACTTTCCAATTCTTTCATGACCAGGTAGGGAGGGTAAGGTTTGTTAAATATATATAAGGATCTGAGTATGCACAAAACTATTGTATGAAATTCTGTGTTCATACTCCTTTTATTGTATTAGCTACTCAGGATTTGTATCTTAATTTAGAATCTGAGATCTTCAAGGGGGAATTATCTGTACTGGCCACTAAACGCTTTCTTCATAGAAATATGGGGAGATTTTATAGGTCCCTCATACTTGTCTCAAGTAAGTTTTTGCGTTAATAGTAAAAGACAGACAAGGGTGTTTCAATGGTTATGAACTATTTAACTGCTGATCATGGACTATGGATGAGAATAAGAAGTCATTGTAAAGAAAGACCTCAAGGGAGAAAAGATAAGAAACTGAAGACAGATGATCTCTGGATAATGCCTCATTTATTGTCTCCTCCTTGTTTCGAAAAACACCTCCGTCCTTTTTGTAGATGGATTGAAAGATCTGTCATTCCAAGCTTTTCTGTTTGACTTTGCAAGTAAAATTTTGATTGGGTTCTGATCTGGATGGATGCTCCTTTTTGGGAGAGCTGAAAACGAAGCAGGGTGATAGGTTATTTCAGTACTTTTTTTTTTTATTTTCCGCTATTTTCTGAAGCAATCTAATTAGTTACAGAGAACAGTGTAGTCACAAGCAAATAACTGAGATATATGTTTGATTTGTGCTATTGATTTTAGAGACGTCCGTGTCAGAATTTAATGCCATAAAATAAGAATATGAATAGATATATCTCTAAATTTTATAGAGAGATGTATTTTATCAGTTGACAAAAATACCTTCTGTCAGTGTCATCTGTCAGTTTCCAAAATGTGTTAATAACGGCACATCTGAGGATCTGATGAGAAATTCCTTCAGTTACAGCCTCTCTTCCGCACGTGAGCACTAGATGGCACTGAAAGACAGGAGCTGCGGCTGGGAAAACAGGGACTTGAATTTCTCGATGTTGGTGTTATTTCGGTGGAGGATCACTGTAGCACAAATGATATCCCGCAGGTATATTTTCTGAAAAAAAAAAAAAAAAAGGGAAGGTTTGACATGAATTACAGAAACTATATGACGTGACTCAGCAGTCGCTTGAGCTGATGGAAGAGATCAGCACAATTAGAGATTAAGTGGCTGTCCAGGTTTGAGGATGTGATTATTTATATATGATATTAGAATGATTTTAAATATTAGAGTAGATATTAGAATATCTGATTATATTAGACCATATTAATATATGATATTATCAGAATATATTAAGCGACTAGGCCTGGTGGCAAGGCCCCTCTGCAGCCGGAGGGGATAGAGTTTTTCCTGTTCCACTTGCTCACACTGCTTTACAGAAATCTCCTCTAAAATTCATATTCTCTCTCCCGTTCACAGTCGTGCTCCTTGGGAGCAGCTCTAGTGCCAGACTCGCTGTGGGGCTTGATGTTTTTAGCTCTGTCATTTCACACTCTGTTCCTACCCCTCTGCCTTGACCAAGCACAAACTCGGGCTGATACAGGAGATGCTGGTGGCATTTAGGATGAGGTCTGAGTCAGAAGTCAAGATTTTAATAAGCCTTTAATAAAAAGCATGTTGAGTGAGCACTGGGGAAGAACAAAGAGGGAGGGAGGGAGCAGCTGGAGCTGCGGGTGAGGCTGAGGAAGGAGCCCGGGCCCCTCTCCTCACGGCTCTCCCTGGCCTTTCCGCCATCTTCTCATGTGCCCGGGACCCACTGCCACCACCTCACCTCACGGGGTGGCTGCTCTGAGGGACAGGTTTGCTTTATTTACTTAATTTCTTCAGAAAAAAAAAAAAAAAAAAGGAGAATTTTTGCAAGTAGCATTTTGCTCACTTGCTTTTCCTTATTGTAACGTTCTTAGGCTGAAGAAAATAATTTCGACCCTAGATAGGGATTTCCCTCAGCCTAGATCTGCTTTTAAAACTGTATTAAGCCGTCGTTCTTTGGAAAGTTTTAAGAAAACCTCCACCCGTAGCACCGGCCCGACCTAACCCTACAGGCTCTCGGCGCTTGGGCACCGGGGGAGGACGGGGGCGGCGCCTGGGCGCCACACTCAAGATGGCGGAAGGTCGAGGCCGGGCCGGGCGCCGCGCTCAAGATGGCGGCTCTCTCCCCCCTCACCACCTCCTCCCTTCCCTTCCCCGCCCTCCCGGCGGTGACTTCCGGAGGGAGAGGGCGTCCGTCCCATGGTAACTGCGCCACGGTGGAGACGCCGCCGCCGCGGGGGCTGCTCGCTTCCTGCCGCCACCCGGGCCATAACAACGGGCAGTCGCCTCCGGGGCTCTGCTGCCGGCAGCCGCCAGGTAGGCGCCGCCGGGCGGGCCAGCGGCTTTCCCCCCCGCCCGCCTCCGGTCGTGAGGTGAGGACCGGCTCCCCTCCGCCTCAGGGCTTGGGGGCCCCACCCGGGCCCCCCAACCCCGTCCCCGTGAGGGAGGCGGCTCCCCGCAGCCTGAGCCCTGGAGTAGGTCGGGCCGGCGGCTCGGGGGAGGCGGCGGTGGCCATCCCCGCTCCGGCGGCGGCTGTGGCGGGGAGGGGGAACCTCTGGCCTGGGTGTAGGGCTTCTGGGGGGAACCCGGCGGCGGTGGGGCGGCCCCCGGTGTCCTCACCCCCGATGCCCTTACCCCCGACACCGGCGTCCCCTCAGCGGGGCAGGGGGAGCTCCCCCCGGGGCCGAGGTGTGCGGGCGGTGGTGGGTGCCCTCTCAGCCGGTGTCCTCTGAGCCTTGTTTTAAAACGTTGTGTAAAAATGAATTATTTTTATGTCGCCTTCTGAGGTTTTGTGTTTATTTTAGTGGGAGCTGGGACTTTTTTTTTCTTTTTTTTTTTTTTTTAAAGGGTGTTCAGACACTAACTTTTCCCGTTTGTTATGGACTGAAGTGTGACCAGCCTTCCGTGTGCGTCTCAGCCGGTGTCCTCTGAGCCTTGTTTTAAAACGTTGTGTAAAAATGAATTATTTTTATGTCGCCTTCTGAGGTTTTGTGTTTATTTTAGTGGGAGCTGGGACTTTTTTTTCTTTTTTTTTTTAAAGGGTGTTCAGGCACCTAACTTTTCCCGTTCATTATGGACTGAAATGCGACCACCCTTCCGTATGCATTTGGTCTTTGTTCAGAAATAGGCTGCTTGTGGCTGCCTGGCTGGTTTGCTAGGAGCAAAGGCTCTGAGAACGTCAGGTCTGCGGGCAGCGGTTTGTGAAGGGTGTGCATCTGGCACCCTCCGTCCTGAGGAGTTAAGGTGTGATAACTCCAAACTCCTCTTTGCACAGCCAGTGTCCTGATGAGCTGCTTCAGCGTTGCTTCCAGCGGTGGTGGCGGATGCTGGAGAGGTGTTGGAGGGGCCATTCAGGCAGAGGGCTGTCTGGAGATGTGCACATCACGAGTAGCCTCTTCAGTTCCTAGATCCAGCACAAGTAATCAGTTAGTGTGTTATCAGTGGTGGCATCCACAGCCATTGCCAGTTAGCGCTGTTTGCTCCAGAACAGGTTATCTCCCACATAAAGAGCAGCTCACCTGGTGAGCTTTCTCCATCCTTCTCCTAGCAGAGGAGGAGATGTTAGAAGTTTAGTGGAAAACACTTCTGTGAAGAAGACAATAGGACACTATCTGCTGTTTCAGTCTCTAGATAAGATTTAAAAATACCATTTTGGTTGATGTTCACGTATTTCAGCAAACAAAAGTCAGCTTTTTTCAGTACAGTAATGAAAAGCTGTAGTTACTCAAAGTGTGTCTGTAGCGTGTGTGTATTTTAAATGAACAAAATCTGCCTGTTCAGAATTGCAAGTAGCTTATTAGAGAATATCTGGCTTAGACAAACGTGTGAAATTGTAACAAACGCTTAGGATAAGGCATCCAAATTGTCAGTGGGCTTATAAACGTGCTCAGGATTAAAACTAGTGGAACTGCAGGGGAATAAAGGCACAAGAAAGCAGTTGAGACAGTTGAGACTGGGAAGAAGGTGGGATTTCTTAACTGGGCAAAGGGACGAGAGCCTGAAGCAACAGTCTGCAGGGATGGAGGTGGAGGAGATCTAGCATGGAACAGCCAAGGAGTGGGGAGGTGTGTAGTAGGAAAATATAAATACTTAAACCATCAGCATTCGTAGATTCTTATGGCAAATACTTAAGTTTGTAAGCACTATATTGTTGACTATATTGTTGACTCTTAACAAATAATAATGGTTATGAGCGTTTACAGTATGTTACAGTGTTTATAACATTCACAAGCTGTATTTATTTTACATATATTTACTCTAAATGTAAAATAAATAAGGCTTGTGCTGCTTCAGTTTTTCTGTAGCTCCCAGAAACTGCAACTAGTATTGGGATGCTGCTGTGCTGATTGCTAAATATACAAGCAAACTGAGATGCAAATTAAAGAGGCAAACAAACATCCAGGGGCTTTTTTTGCTTAAGTAATAATCCTTAGATGTTAAGCTGAAAGTAACAAAGCACAACAGCCTTTGACACTGGTATTCTATTTAGGAATAGAATGGTTGAACTACACCATGATTGTAGTACAAGGTATTTTGGAAGTCATTAAAAAGAAAGGAAAATCAAATTCTGCAGAAAGATTTATTTCCTCCTTTACAGCAAAGTGAGTAATATCCTGTAGTAATATAATAGCCTGGTTTGAGGACACAGTTGTTTTGAGATTAGAAGCTTAAATGTGTCCGTCAGTTAAAAGCAGATGGATGATGAAATCATCCTGATACTAGAGTGGTGCAAAATCTGGGAAGACTGAGTTAGGATTTGAGTCTTTGTAGTGTAACTCAGGAGGGCTGGGGTGGGTTTCGCTCCCTCTCCCCCACTTTCAGGTGGCATTGTCTGTATGTAGGGAATAAAATGCAAGGATTGGATTTTCCATTTTTTTTAACCTGCTTTTGAACTCATTGTAGTGGAGTTAAGGTTGTTTGCTGATTGTTTAATGCGATAATTGAGGATGGAGTGGTGACTTTGCCTTTGTGGAGCCTGGGAGAGAGCAGTTTTTGTGGCTGGGCTTCCCTGTGTGTAGAGCAGTACCTTTACTTCAGGTTGATTGCCACCTTTTGCTCAGACACCTGGGACACAGGAGTTCAGGATGAAGCATGCTCTCTATTTTTCAGCAGGCAGGCTTACAGCATCGCTGAGAAAGTTGGGGTTTTCCCTTCAAATGCCTTTTTTTTTTTTTTCTTAGTCCTTCTTTCCAAATCTGCTACCATTGCAGATTCCTGACTCTCCTGGAGAACGCCTCGTGCAGCTATTTTTGACTGATCAGAGAATTTCTGTAGCAGGACTTTAAGACACTGATGGGGGAGAGCGGTCCTGAGGGGTCTCAAAGAAAGAGATGGAATTCAGATTAGTAGCCTCCAAAAAAAATCTTGAGGTGAAAAATAAGACTATAAAAGAACAAAGGTAAAAAGAACATGTGAAAACACTTAGTTCTCATAATGTTACCCTTTCCCATGAGGAGGCTTTTTGAATGGCTTTCAGAGTAATGTGTCTCATATGTTGACCATGGATTTGAGCTTTGCGTTTCCTCTAAGCCTTTAACAGAGATGATTGATTTATTAGCTTTGATAGAAGTATAGAATTACTTTCAAACTTTGAAATACATAATAAGCACCTCGGATAATTAGCAAGCCTACAACTATCTCTCTTTAAAGTGATCAATGGCATTAATTTGGTTTGGTAACCATGGCTATTTTCTTGTTCAGCGGCCAGATGGTATTTCTGAGTTTAGTGTGACTTCCTGCGAGCAGTTTTTACAAAGTCAGCTGGGTTTTGGTGTGAAACACAGCAAAAATTAAACACTATGGGGAGGTGTGAAAATGTTCTTATATTAAAAAATAAAAAAAGCTGGTTGCTTTTCTGCCCTAATAAAGCAGGTTGCTTTCACTTCAGTGTGGAGAGTAGATTGTAGCCTCTAAATCATATGTTCAGTGAGACTGTGATGATACAATAGTAAAAACTTGTAACTGTTGCTTGTTTGACACTGAAGTTTTTAATACAAATAATTATTAACGGACCAATGTTCTGTTGTAAATGAAATACTTTCTAACTTTACTGTAAAAAACGAGCCCCCTGTTATAGTAACTTACCCTTTTAAGGGGATCTCTTCTTGAGGGGTGATGCACTGATGCTGCTGTTGTCCGTGTCTTGACACTAATAGAACAGCCATGTGAAATTTCCATCTGAATTCTGATTTTTGAGGCTTGAAGGAGTCAAAGTGTGAATTTTATCTGTCACATACTTCTTGGAACACCAAATCCAACAAGTCACGAGCTTTTGAGAAACGTTCTGGGCATCAAAGAGCCCAGTCCAGCTGAGTTGGTGAAAGCTAGAATAACAGAGAAGATTCCTTGGGTGGGACGCCCTGAGCTGTGTGTGAAGCAATTGCATAAAGGTGAAAGGTGGTTGGGTTTTTGTTTTGTTGTTTTTTTTAAGCTGACCTTTACTCTCTGCTTATTAATAGCAGTTTAAATTGGTCTGCAGGAGATTCTCCAGCATGCAATATTAACAGAAATAAATCTGGCTGGGAGAGTTGTGGGGAAGGAGAACTGGTGCCAGACGGTGAATTGGGAAGGAAAAGATCTAAAAGTGGAAGCAATCGGGGCAGGTGAGTGTGGCAGAGAAGAGCAGAGACCTTGCGAAAATGAAGTCTTTTGGGGAGGAAAGGTGGCATTGGGGAGAGACAGAGGGAGGAACTGGTTGGTGTACAGGCAGGAAAGTGCCACTTGAAATTAAGCAGAAATACATCTGAAAAGAGTGACAGGCACCAGAAGGAGAACTGGTGATTGTCAGGTGCATAGTCTCAGGGAGTGTGGGTGGAGATGAGAACAGGGGCATGTGGAGCCCATCCCTGTGAGGGGAAACCTGAGCGTGGATGTGGGCAACTGAGGGACTCGTGGTATGGGGCGTGTGGCCCAAAACTTGAGGAGCTGTACAGGTACCCTTGAGAGGGACACAGCAGGGTGCCATGCTGGGTGTGCTCCGTGCTGCAGAGCCCAGAGCGGTGGTGCTGGTGTGCTCACTGTGCAGAAACTGGGGATGAAATGCTCTTTCTGCCCTCCCTATTATTCCCTCCCTCATCTTTATCCTCTTTGGAAGAGGTGAAAAACTTGCCTGGATTGGTGTCATCAACCTGTGACTGGAAATGATGTTAGCTTTCTACATTCAAGTCTCTGAAGAAGGGTCTTGCTGTGCATCTTAATCTATAGCATTGTTGTTATTGTAAGAAACAGGCAAACACAGCATGATAAAACCGTTCTTGTGCTGTCTGTAATACAACATAACTCTGGTGCTGTGTAGCACAAATTAATAAAAATTACTA